TTCTTTGCAGAGCATTAAGTGCTCAAGTGGACACGTCTTGAAGTGAACGATTGAGTTTAGATTGTCTAGACGCTTTTTTTTTAAGGGAAAGTCCACAGCGCGTGGACCATGTAGAAGGATATATGGAGAAAGTAAGGCGCACTTTTGCATCATATTAAGGGCCTATTAGTGCCAATCAACTCAGTCAATTTTTAGTAACAATATTCTAAAAGACGCAAATATTAATGCGGATTATAGCCTAAAATGAAGGAATATAACTCATTTTATTATAAAGCTTGTTTAAATTTACAAAGAAGTGGGAAGAAGGAAGCACGAAACAAAATCTTCTGCTGGATTGTTCTTTGAAATCACATTTGAAGAGATGAAGGGAATACCCAATGTGGTTTAAATGTTTATAACTGCTAGCAAGCATTATTTTGTCACTATTTTGTTCTGTGGAAAGCAGAAATTTCAGATGTAAAATAATAAAAATGGTCTCAAAAGAAAAGTGCGCTAAATGTATTTTGGCTATTATCACGAAAAAGAAGGCAATGTAAAGCACTCTGGACCAGCTAGTCAACTAAGCCCGTCCTCCTGATCTATGATTCACGGCTACAACTTGACTGTGGAAGCACAACAAATGGCATGAATAATTTGGATGTAATTATTTGGCCATCGTTTATTTTTGTCCACTTGCTAAACGATTGCGAGATGCATTTACTAACTCTGTGTCCTGCATTCCTTTGGGCCATCTGAGTAGAATAATGTAAAAGTCGACCGAATGAGGACGTCGGACGATATGACTATCCTTGCTATGATGAACTGGCATTCCTTCACCTTTTCTTAGGCATTCCCATTAAATATGTCCTTCAGCTCTTCTGGTATAATCATTAATTCAGGTAATAATCTGGCCGCCATGTCCGTCATGTCCAGTCAGTGCAACGTAGGCATGGTGGACCATCTTTGCATTTAACAATTGCTCCACGATATTCCGATTACTTCTTATGGCTACTTAGACACTCGAGAAGCCCTGAAGCCCAACAAATTTTAATCTCCGACACCTCAAAAAGACGTCGCATTCTCCATGTTGGCTAATTTTTGCCCCATAAATGCCAGAAGAACTAGCAGTAACATATAGATACCCATGGCGGAAGCTGTTACGAGCCATTTCAGACAGAATTCAACATGCAAAAACAGTGCTCTGTGGAGACAAGTCATGGTAAATTTAATCCATTCGACGAAGCGCTCGATTTTATTCCGGCCAATAGGCAGACAAATTGTCCTTCAAACAGGTGCGTTCTAGGGAATAAATGAAATTGCTGATAAATCCCTATTGTAGAAAGAGGGTAAAAACGATATGAGAGTGGTGTGCGAAAAGTCATTCAAAGGATAATACAAGAAATTAGAGAAAGAATTGAATAACGAAAAGATGCACAAGATGAATGAGGTTAAGCTCGGCTAAAAGACAAAAAGATGGTCACTTTTTCAAAAACAGGATATCCACATCACCTGCTTTTATAAAAATGCTAACAATACGAA